ATATTAAATTAAAATATGTACTAATCATTGTCTGTAAATTTTTTAATGATTTCTAGATTTATTTTAGGTTTTCTCATCACTTTCTATCAAATTATTTATATACTTGGATAATTTTTAGTTTTTTGCTAATTGAAATTAATAAGATAATAATTAATAAATTATAAAGATCACTAAAAAATATAAAAATAATTATTTAAAAAAAAAAAAAAAACCAAAACATACCGGTAAAACCTACTTATTCTAGTTAGGTTTTTAATTTTTAAAATTGAATAACTAAAATTTTAATTAACTACTAATTTAATTTTGGTTTTGACCGAAACCAAACCATGCCCCAACCTATTGGGCATTAGCTTTTTCCTCTCAAATAACCATAAGGCATGTTTGGTTCGTATACTAAGAAAGTACTCATTTTTCAAAGTTACAATTTTGTGTCTGCACCTTCACCTAATTAACTTCTAAATTAAGGGTTTTTTTTTTTTCACAATTAGGGTTTTTTAGATTAATTTATGCATAGTTCAAAACTAATCCTTCTCTAATCCATTTAAAGGTAGATCATCCACAATGATATTAGAAAATTCATAAAAAATTTCTTCTTCAATAGCCTCCCTAAGAAATCAACTGTTCAACAAGGGAGGTAGCAAAATCCTTTGCCAAATTAAGGTTTTATTAGCTTTAATAAAAATTTGGGTTTTTTCAACCTACGTTGTAAGGGCAAACATTAAGGGCACTGTTTTGATACTAATTGTCATTAAAAAAAAAATTGACTTTTATTTAATCAATTATCTAATTAAAATTATTTACATGTCATAGGTGATGAAAGTTAATATTAATTTTTGTCATTTTTAATATCAATTAATGTAAAAAAGGTATATTAAATAGAAAATAATTGGTACTCTTAATTTAACACATTTTTCGACACTTATCCAGTTTAATTGTAAAATACAATAGAAGTACAACTGATTCAATCAATTTATGCATCTTATATGCATAGTTATATCTTTAAATTTATTTGTATTTAATATTAAACTAAAAAATAATGATTTTTTAATTAATATATTATACAATATATATGTTAAACTAAATGGTATATCAATTAATATTCATATTAATTACACCCTTAAACACATATTAGAAAAATTCTAAAAGTTTTGTTAAATATAAGTTTGACCTAATGTAAAAAATAAAGTTATTATGAGCAAAATGTTTATTTGTGAGACTTCTAAAAATTTATGAGAAATTTTTTTTTTAAAATGCATCATATCTAATCTCTTATTAAAAAGTAAGAAAATAACTTATTTTTAAAGCACGAATAACTTTATTTTTAAAACATGAATAACTTTATTTTATTGTATTTTATTGAAATTACTTAATTTTGATGTATTTTTCTATTAATTTTTGAAAACTCTAACCAATAAATTTTAATCTCTATTATCATTATTATCATTATTGCTTACATTTTATGATTTCTTTTAGAGTAATAAGTCATAATTTTTTTATGAAATAATTAATATATATATATATATATATAATGGTTTTTTCACTTGACAACATGTGCATGCACTCGTTTATGATGGGATGTGGTTAAAAAATATTGTTATTAAATCAATCTCACTTAACCTGAATAATGCCAATACAAACTAGAAAAAAAAGGTAAAAGAAAAAACAATTATTTTTTTTGGAAAATGATGTGTGCACACCCGGAT